TATGAGGGAATCTATGAGGGAATCTATGAGGGAATCTATGAGGGAATCTATGAGGGAATCTATGAGGGAATCTATGAGGGAATCTATGAGGGAATCTATGAGGGAATCTATGAGGGAACCTATGAGAGAATCTATTGCTTTCTCTAGCAATTATATAATATAATAATAGTTGTAGACACGCTTCATAACATTCGGAGTGGAATTCCTTGTTGTTGGTCGGGTTATTCTTCGTGGGCTTGTGGTTGCCTGCTGAACTCGACCGTCAAATACTGTTGTATCCAAGGCTGAATCCAAAAGGATTTCTGGAACCCGAAAGATCACCTGAAAAAAAGCCAAAAAAAAAGGTCGCCACGCAAATACGCGTACATATCTTCGAAGCCATACTTCGAGCGAAATGACTTGTATACTATGAACATATATAAATATATGTACTATAAACCGCCGAAAGACTCGAATGCTGCAGAAGCAGTCCGGGAGGGTATGGGATAAGGAACAGCAAGTGCGAGATTTGGCATGCCAAAATCGGCAGGTTTTGGTCATGTAAATGGAAAAATCACGCACTTAACCCGTTTCCGCTTCGTTTTCCCCGCAACGCGGTGAGCGATGGCGAACCCAGTTCCGCAAAAGAGTGGAAAAGGTTAAATATGGGGCAATAAAATGGCAATATAATGGCAATAAAATGGCAATAAAACCCTTCTCATAAGAAGAAAGAGGACTTGCTCGAAGATTCCATTCTCTCCGTGGCTGAGATTTTCCCGTCCTTCGGTTGAAATTACCTTGAATTAGAACTGGGAGAAGTGAGTGAAGTCGAAAAACATTTTACTGGGATTCAGGCAAGCCGAGTAATTTCCCTCCCCCCTTAACCTTAACCTTAACCTTAACCTTAACCTTAACCTTAGCCTTAACCTTAACTCTTCCCCTTCCGATCGATCGCGTTGAAGCCTGACTCCGTTTCTCGCTTTGTTCTTCAAGCTAGACCGCATTTCCCCCAAGTTGTGGTTCGTTTGGTCATAAATTCACTTTAAAAAGTATTAACGTCGTGAAGTTTTTTTTCCTAAGTACGGATATTGAAATAATGAGAGCAATAATTTCACTTTAGGAAGTGAACGCATCTACACCTACTAGAATGTACAAGAAAATAGAACAATTTTTTTTCGGATTGTCAAGTGTGTCACTCAGATTCGGAAAATATCAACTTTTTTTATGGCTGCCATTATGATTCCATCACGATCTTTCCTAGAAGAATGAATGTTGAGCTCGTTTTTTTTTTCTTCAAGTTTTTGCGTTTTTTATTTATTTATTACTAGTCGACAAGTCGGAAAAGTCGTCTCCTGACGAGAGTTGACCCTTAGACGCACGAGCCAGTTCGACTTGATCCGATAGCCTCTCATTCCAGCCCTAATCGCTTCTTCTGCAATATCTCGGTCGTGATTAATAATAAAAGACGAAAACAACGAGATGGCGCAGAATTTGGTGGTCCTCAAGGGAGGCGAGTGGCATGTCATGGCATGGCCCCTCGTGTCGCCTCGCCTCACGATGCCACGCCGAAATCCGTTCGAGTTTCCTTGTTTTATCCTACCTCAAAAATAGAAAACGTGCTGAAATCAGGACCCCCAAAATGAAGGGATTACCAAATATCAGCAATCTATCTTTCCAAGTTGCAGTTTCCTGCAGGAAAAATGTAATCGGAAGAAAAAATTTCCTTGAGGGGATAGACCTCACAAGTAAAAACTTTACCAACATCAGTACTGTATATGGAGAGCTATTTATATACCAAAATTGTCTATTCATACTCCCCCCCCCCTCAAAAGATGTGCTCCGGAGGGACATTCCTCAAGTTCAATTCTTGGTGAAACTTTAGAAGTGCCGCTCCCAGAGGAATGTCACAGTTCATGCGACCCGTGCATTGAAAAAGTTTGAGCATCCCTGCTCTGGGAGGACGGGTGATGCAAAAAAAAAACCTTCATTCCTTCCTTCCCTACAGCTGCAAAATCTACCGAGGATGCGCAGGAATTTCTTTGTGCCTGTGTCTGTGCGAACACAGTGCACGGCCTGGAACGAGCAGCGATGGCATTGACTTCCTCTGCGTCCGAGTGCAGAGGGGCAGGCAAAGGATAAAGGGGGGAGGTAATGTCCACGGCCGTTGTCGAGGAGATAATTAATGGAATCAGGAGAAGACATGCGAGGAATTTTCTTCTCCGAAACGACAAAAGGGACGACATCCGACCCCATACTCGATCCGGTTTTGTCCACCGTTATATATGATCGATGAAACCACTCTGGTTGCAATGATTCACCTCACTCCTTAGATTCAGCAGCGGAACCCCGAGCCCCCTTTCCAACTTTTGTATTCCGGGTATAACAGTCTGTGAATGGGAAAAACTACAATGCTCAGCAAATCCAGTAATATGCGCAGCGAAAAAAAGAAAATTATGGATCGTCTTAGGACTGCTACTAACGACCGGAAATTCTTTTAATGATTCGATGGCTTCATGGACAATTGGCCATCCACTTCCGGAGGAAAGAAAACGTCTTAAGAATACAGAAAGAAGGTTTTCTTCCATTAAGGTCTGTCAGTCGAATAAAAGTACATCTGTGCTTCAAATCGTCCTTTGAAGAGTGTTTGATATATTCACTGTGCATTGCCTTTAGTATCAGGATTGCAAATTCTTTTATGGAGCAAAACGGTATTATGAGTGGTGTTCGCGGGGAATGCAATACTTTAGTGCATAAAGTCTGATGATTCATACAATTTTTGCTGTGGTCCTTAACTTTTTTGCTGGGAAAAATCCAGATGGCAAAAGTTGCTCGACTCAGTATCTTTGTCTGCTACCAATTGCTGGAGTTGTATTCAATCCAATTCGTCCTCAAGACATCTCTCCATTAGAAGCAGACTCAGTGGAAACATTCTTGGCGCAAAAAAAAAAAATTGATTTTTACTTTAATGCACAACTAGGTGCCTGTTTTTGCAATGTTTCTGTCTTGTTGAAAAATTGATTGATCTCCATGAGATCGCTCCATCCATCTCCATCCATCTCTCATGAATGAAAAATGGGGTTGTGAATTGCATTCGGGGGAATCTTTTATTGAGGGTCTTTGAAATTGCTCCGTATTCCCGATATTATGCATAATAAAGTAGGGCTATGGAACTTTTAGCGCTCCCTTGGAATGGAATAAGGTATCAAAATATGTAGCAATTTTATCAGATGATATATCCTATAGAAAATTGAATTCATGCTCGATTTTGCGCTATCAGTGCCGAATAACGAATAATTGTGTCTGAAGAATAAGGCTGACGCTCTAACACTGTCGTCAAGTGGAGAAATTCCTTCATCCCAAGACCCTGGTGTGATTGTGCCACTTATTTCTCCCGTGTTTTTAAAGGTATACTGTATGTCTATTATTCTATGATTTAGTGGTAATTCCCTCTAGCCTGGGAAATATTGGAATAGAAGAACCTGACCCCCACTTCCCCATTGTACTGCATCATTCCATGCGGTGACGATGATTGCCGCAAGGAAGACAAAGAGACTGCAATAGAGGTCTCATTGTGCATGTCATGGGATGTGCCTGTACAGGCGATTATGGGGAAAGGCAATCTGATACGTCTCGCATTCCGTCTAGTGCCCACTGCATAAGGAGGATAAACGACCGGGACCTCCTTTCTTTCTTTCCTTCGCTTATGGTTGTAATTGCAAGGGCTTCTCATGCAAGGATAAATTTAGCGACTGGGTTCAGCGTTGTCACTCGATGTCACGCGAACACCCAAAGAGGCCCGCACGAGATGGTTTTCAGCGGGAGGACTCCCGCTTCCTTCGCATGTTTATGTGGCCCATCCTCCTCGACGAACGAAGAGACGTCTGCTCCCATCACATCGACCTGTGTGGCTTCTTGGTTTATCTTGTCTCTCGCGAGGAGCACTTGATGCTCTTAATGAGATCTCATGGACTAGCATTCCGGCGTTCGATAAAGATAGCAGGAGTTTTATTGGTTAATGGGTTGCCACAGTACCATGCACACGGAATGTATCGAAGGTTCAGTGCTAAAAATGGCATGTTCTGCGTGCCACTTTGGGAAAGTGACAATTTATTCCCAGTTGACTCTGCAATATGATTAATTTGGTACGACGAAATGACATCTATTTGCACATGAATTGATGTCCATGAATGCAAGAATGAAAATGTTTATGAATGAAATCGTTTGTGAATGAATAAACCCATTAGCCTCAAGCGATTTCATTTTCATGGAAAATAGACATAAGGACCTTTGCCTCTAAACCTTCGGTATACGGAAAGCCAAAAGAGGCATTCCATTCTCAGAATGATCGATTCGAGAAAGCAGAAGAGCACTTTTTTGAACTCCCACCCATTTACCGAAAGAAGAACAGAAATGCTGTTGGGTTTAATTCTCTTGCTGCCAATCCTCTAGCTTTATGGATTCATCCCTTCTTGTCGCCCTTGTGCGATCACGCGAAGTTATGCCACGTACTCCTCAGTCACGTGAGTGGGTTCGCATTAAATGTTTCTGGCATGCGATCCTACTTGCGAGATGTAAATCTGATTCCAACTCTCTTGAATTTCATATTAAATTCTGTAGGCACACTCCGTTTCATACATTTCTGTAAAGGAATCAGCGCATCATTGGGTTATGCATGAAGATGTGACTTAAGTGCTAAGATCATCCACCCAAGAGTGTTCTCCCCGGTGAGAAAATCGATACGCATCCATGCGTATTGATTGTCTCAGTGTATGATTGATGGACAAATGTGCCATTTCTCTCCAGCACTTTATGCTCTTTGAGCGCGAGCAAACTCCAGTCAATTTTTTCTTGTACCTCAAGGAAGATTGCACCCAAGCGGCTATGCACGATCATTAAAACATTTAATGTCTGCTTAAGCATCCATGGCTGACAAGTTCCGATCAGTATTTTTCGTTCCAAGTGAAAGGAAACAGTTATCACACGACACTTTGTACATGGTGCGGAGTTAACACATCACAACACTACACGTAACGCCGGGTACCTCTTCTGAATTGGTCCTGAAGCTCGATTTCATCGATGACAGAAGAAATAGAACGCCGAGCAGGTCTCATCGGCATCGTCATGGATAATGTTCCAAGGGTCCCTTGCCTTCTTGGCACGTCGGATTTCCTCTTCAGCATATCCTGAAGGCTTTTCTGGAAGTTCTTCGACAGGAATGCATACAGTATTGGGTTGAGGGCAGAGTTTAAGTACATGGCAAGGAATGTAAATATCTGGAAAGCTGTCGCGACTTCACCATCTCTCAACGCCGAGCCATAGTAAAAGATCATCTTCCTCACGTAGTAGGGAAGGTTGCAGACGGCAAAAGCGATGACGACGGTCAAGAGCATCCGAATCACTCGCCTTCGTGACTGCATGAGTTTGATGGCAGAATTCTGATTATATCTCATCTTGATGTTACTCCGGCGATTTCCCCTGAGAATTGTGCTTGACCTGTTCCCGTTGTCCCTCCTGCTTCCGCGCAAACTCGGGTTGGTATCGGCCAATTCCCTCATCTCCAGTCCATCCTCGACTTCTCCGTTAGACACTTCCGCGCAGCTGTCATTCAAAGACTCCTGGAAGTTTTGCTTGAAGGATTGATTTTGGCAGTCGATCGTAGTTTCATGATTCTCTGAATCTGGAGGTACGTTAGAAAGCCGCGGAGGAAGTTTCCACAAGTCGTGGCTCATTCGTGAGTAGAGAACGGACAGCGTACATAGAGGGAGAATGTATAAAAGGATGAAATCGATGGTGTCGTAGGCTTTGGCGTTATAATTATCCTGTCTCGGAGCACAGAAGGTCTCTGTCGTTCCATCACTCAGAATATGAGTCAATGCACGAGGGTAAATGAGTTTCGGAATGCTGAGGAGAAAGCTTGATGTCCAAACTGCTACCACCGCCATCTGAGAACACAAAAATGTGCGATTTGTTTACTTCCTGCGAATGAAGTCATACAAGGAATTGTGGCCTGATATAAATATTGATCTAACATAAATTCAGACAAATATGCAAAGACTGGTATTCAGCTATTTTAGTCTGTTCCTTGCTTAACCTAAAACGTAGGTGTCATGGGCCAAATAGGTTCAAGGGATCTGAGCTCTTGAATGGCATCAATAAAAATCTGCGTAATAGGGCAAATCTCATTCTCATTAATATCCATCATCATGAAACCGTTTCTGGTGCCTGTCACCCTGAATCTAGAACTTCATGTGAGAATGAGCGATTTTTTAAAGCTTCCTACGACCGAGTTCTCACAGCTCTCAAAAGTGTCGATATCATGAAGGACTATACGATATGTCGGGTGCTTGGCCATGCATCGGCCTATGATAGATGACAAATGCATGATCTCTCAAGACAAATAACGGGCCTGTCAGATGAATGATGACAAATCTGTGCCTGTTCGATGAATGATGGCGAGTCCTGCTGTACCCTGTCTGACAAATTTTTTCTCTTTCTCTCTTTCTCTCTTTCTCTTGTCTCATGATTGCACTTTATGCGTAGTTCGATTCGTCGGGAAAGACGCCTAGATAGAGGTAGTTATCATTAAGGCCAAGTCAGTTTCTCTGTGATTTGGATGGCCGAGAAGCAGCCTGCAGAAAGGAGACAGTGGTTCTATTCCCAGCAGAGCCCAAGCTGCATTGTATTACATAATCTATAAGCGATTCGTTCGACCACGTAGTAGATACCGTTACATTTCTCTTCGTTCATTTTCCTTGCGAATATAGCCAATTTGTACCATAATGCTAATTTCAAAATAGATGAACCACACCAGGCTTGAACAACATTGAGCACTAGTGAGGTTCATTGTGCAGAAATCGTTTAAATGGAGGAATAGGATAAGTTGGTAGCAGAAGAGTTTAACTAAAGGACAGTGTTTTCCGTCATTTGAAGACCTCATACCAAAGGTATGAGGCCTACAAATACAATTAATTGAGAGGGAAGAAACCCTTTGATTGCGTCAGTTTTCTTCATTTTTTGATACCGTCAATAAATTTTTATTTTGATCAAGTTGACATGCGACAGTAAAATGTAGATAATTTGATTAACATTATATAAAGTTTAAGGAATTTTATTTTCCAGTTTTAAATGTATAATAAGCGAGTTGATGAACTCTGAAGAAGATTCATCGAGTAGTTTGGGAGAAATCCTGGAATGAGAAAAAGCACCCCTGCCAAGATAAAATTTTGAGCCAGGTTATATCAGAATTTTTAAAAGTGAAGAGCATGTCTCCAGTTGGTTGTTCACAGATTCTTTTCCAATCGCAAGAAATTTCCATACCATGATACTCATCATACTCGTGAGATTCATTATGCAACTCTAAATAAGCAAATAAAACAAAAGGAAAAGATCCCTGAGGCCTGTAGGCTCAAATGTCAGTATCATGCGAATAGCTCCTTTGTAGAATGTAGAGAATTTTTTAAAGAGAATTTGTAGTGCTATCGCCAGCATCAGCGGGGGAGGGGGGAATGACTTGATTTTTACTGGATAAAGCATGCGGGGGGATCGTTCGTCCAGATTGATGGCATTGCATGCTGGCTAGAGTCAATGTCATATCAGCTCATGAGATCATGATCCATAAGTGGCTATTCTCCTCCGCACCTGCTGCTTAATGGAAAGTCGGATACTATGGGACTTGTTTTTGAGACTCACCCGATAGCGGAAAAGCGTAAACCATCTCTTGCTTTTAATGGGATACACGATGGCCATGTATCGCTCCATGGATATAACAACCAGCAGGAGCACAGAAGATGTGGTGCTGATCTTGTGCATCACGTGGTAGATCTTACAGAGGAGATCCCCGAAAACCCATCTGAAATGAAGGGCGACGAAATAATTATTTCAACTCCTGCATCATTCCATCCTTCAACAATCCAATATCACTGCAGGAATCAATGGAAGGCGGACTCAGAATTAGCATGCATTCACATAAGGCGAGGGTCTAAACTTTTTACCCCACCCCTATTTGTCCCTCCATTTTCCGGCCCCCAGACGATGGAATAAACTTTATAGATGGAGGTGTTGATCAAGAAAGGCAGAAGGAAAAATAGATAAAGGCTGGGAGTGCAAGATTCGATCCGCTCCTACGTCTGGTCCAAAGAAGGAAGTTAGACGCTGCTTTCGGTCAATCATGAGAGTAATAGTTTGATGCTCCTGACAGGACCCGGTTCCCTCGAATTCTCTCCCCTTTGGCTCACTTCCTCTATTTTTTTTTTGCTTCCTGCTTGTGCTCCTTGGTCCCTTCGCCGGCCATAATATGACAGATCTTTCTCTGAGCTACCACGATTACTGTAGATACCTACCGTGTAAACACTATGTTCATTTTAAACATTGATTATCGATAGCCATTGTTTAAACATTGTCTACGAAAATATCGGTTAGCCATTGTCTACTTTCGATTGCGTGAACGATCCCCAAGCAATGTTTTCATAGCCGATGGTTAGACGATGGCTAAGTGCCCTTCATAGTATATACATAGCACGTTCGGACTTCTTGGCTTTCGCGTAATGCACTTCAGACCCCGCATAAAAACGGACGAATCGAGTGGACAAGGAGAACCTTTCCTCTGACGATGAAGTACATCTCGCCTAGCTTGTAAATGGGAATCTCACGATAGAGACCCGATGCACTCACCTTGCACATGAATAATGCACATGTCTGGAAACTGGTGAGTTCTCCACTGACCCTACTTTGTATTTCAGTACATCCGGGGTAACGCCAAGGATGCACACGGAGAAGTCGGAAATGTGAAAAATAGTATCATTTGTGCACGATTGCAGAATGAAGATATCCGAAAATCGCGTGTGGATCCTGGTCACTTAGTGACAGCGTCAGTAAAAAATCCCTTCCGTATCGCGTGCTGCTTGGACATCGGTGAAATAGAAGCCTTTGAGATCGATGACAGTTGGCTGGGCATTCTATTCGAATACGACAGTTGTCAATGGCACCGATCATTCCTGGAAATTCGGCAATATCAAATTATTGTCTTCGAACAATTACTTCGTTTTTCCTTTTGGGAATGCAATGAATGACGCCAATGAGCAATGGCCTGCGCCATTCCATTTCTAGGAATCCATGCCACATAAAATCGAAGGGTCAGCAGAATATGCAAATCCAAAGGCTTTCATGACACTCTTTACTTTCGGGTCATATTAATTAATTACTCGGGGGATAGGTAGGTGAACAAAAAATCACGATTCATTGCGCACGAACCGTGATCATTATCTGTTGTTGTAAAATCAAGGGATCCCCTCCGCTATTTTCGTTCCTTTCGAGTTCAGTGCGAAGCAGGTCGGCATCATTCACTAATCCCTTTCCGAATCGGTATCTCGCGCGGAAGTCTTCATCGACATATTCTTCAAAGGGATTAAGCTTAGAACCGATGTTCTTGTGTCCCATGAGACGACGAGAGCACATCGCTGATATCTAGCGCTCCTTACAGATAATCCATTGTGCTTCACCGATACACTGCAGCGCTATTCTCACCGGGATATCACACGAGCGCTGGCGGAAATATTGGCAAAATATGCCCCATCCCTAGTCTGGAAATGACACCTTTTTCAGCTTCTGTTAGCCCTTGGTTAGACAATAATTAAAGGAAGATAGCGTTCCTGCAATCCATTTTTGGCCTTAGAAATCGGTTAACCGATGATGTTAAATTTAAATTAAAAAAACGGAGAAAACGTCGTTCATGCAATCAGCCTTGAAGTTCTTATGGGGTTTAACCGCATGCCAGTTTGCATGCTGCTGGTCATGACCAGAGGAGCATAATTCTTCATATAAATTCATGTAACACCTATCATCAGGACTTTCGATCGAAAAACATTCGATCACTTCCACCATGTTCAATTCGTCCTAGATAAATTTTCCGAATTGGAATATCAGTGGTGCCGAGAGGCACATGTTGGTGTAGTTTTGTTTCTGTTTAACATCGAATAGCAAGTGGGTAGAGAGAATTGAAGCAGTTAAGTTAATCAAAGCGGAATTGAAGATGCTGATCTTTCAAGTGGGAAATGGCGATGTGCCCTTCTGACTTCATCTGCCGTCATGCAGAGGTACATATTTGAAGAGGTGTTTGCTGATTCTATTTTACTCGATACAAGATGGCTTCTGTGAGGGGGTGTGTTTTGTCTCGCATCATGGGGAAGAAGAGAGAAAATTGCCATCCTTGAGATGGTAATTGCTTTGAGCAGAAGCCTCAAGAGGAATGCTCCGATGAGATCTTGTGGCATTAAAAAGGGACGAGAGGGAGGTCTTTGCAAGCCACGTGAATGAGCCATAGGAAGCTGCTGATAAAGTGAATGATGGGACTGAAGACGAATGATTAGGCTCATGGTTGTGCCTGACCATGGCGTTGATGGGGGGGGGGGGGTTATTGATCGGCTGCAGCTTACGATAGTTTAGGCAATGATAGGCCTGTGAGCTAAGTGTTCCGTGTTCGGTCCATGGTTTATTGGAAGGGAATTGATTGGAAAACATCGAGTGAGGAAGGAATATTGTCACGGTGATTCTCAAACTTCCTTTCACGCCCATTTAACCTTCATACTTCCAGGGGGTCGCGACCCCTAGTTTGAGAACCTAAGGCCTAAAGACTTAGGCCACGTGTTCCCTCATTGCAAAACTGAGTGTGTATGAAAAGGAACCCTTGAAGTTGCTCTCGATAATTAACTCGAATGGCGCTCGACGATTTTATCAAAATATTATAATTCTGATTAAATCTTCGATAAATGTCGATTATGTCATTTCCCTTCCTTTTAAATTTCGAATTGTTGAAAATACATTAACATTCCAAGAACTACGAGGAATGCAAGACAACCCATCCTTTTCCAATGATGCACATCATCTGAAATTTTGCTGTTGAACAACATAGGGCAAGCTATTCAGAGAACTAAATGTTCTACAATGCATGAGTGTTCACGAAGAACATGAATAATGGTTGATTACTTCACTTGAGTTAATCACGCGCGTCTATTCAAGAAAGAACATGAATAGCGCTGATGTAGTTCAAGATTTGAATAGTCGGAATGGAATACCCCTCACCACTCAAAGGATTCTATCATTGGCGTCACCAATCCCCTCTCTAAGACCACTTCATAATCATCTGCAATCCGAGATCGTTCGTGCCGAGATAACCCGAGAAGGACTCACTCTTCCAAGAGGTAAAGGGTGAGATTCTGATAGATGCAGAAGACTCCCACGCAGAAGTCGGCCAACGCAAGGTTGGCCAAGAAGAAATTCGTGTACGAGCGCATTCGTCTGTGGATCACTATTACCAGCATCACCAAGAGATTCCCTGGAAAGTAAAGAAGAGAATGAGATTGATGACGTTCCATAGCGGGACTTATGCATGATAAGGACGATCAAGCTTCCTTTTCGCATGAACACCGCGCTGCAACGGGTAAAGGGTTTTTTAGTGCTACTTTTTGGCAGATTTCCAGTCATCTATCCCTGTGCCATAATATCTAATCTTCACATTTAATCAGAATCCTGCCAAGAACGCGGAAGTCCTTAACTCTTCCCCCTAGCTTTTCCTAATCCACTCAGACTTATTGAGCCACGGAGGGCAGTGGCCATAGAACACATGTTGAGTCGAGTGGATAGCTCATGTTATTCGTGAATCCACCAAAATGGTACTGCATTCTCGTATTCGGTTACTCATATATCTGTTCGATTCTTCCAATAGCTCTTTTTACGATAAAGATATCGTATAAATATGTATGTATGAAGATCGTACGTAAGATATCGTAGATTGAAATAGCATACATACTGGTTTTCATAAGAGTGTCCCAATATGAGATCGGGTACTCTCAGGTTTCGGTTCACTCGGATATGCTTCCCCTCACAAAACTCAAAAGTAAGGACAGCTCAGGGTTGACAAACCACATATGCGAAAGTTTGCATTCGGAACATTTGCAGACATATAGTGAGGACAACACCAAAGAAACGCTCTATCACAGGGGTGCTCAACCTGCGGACCGCAGACTATGGTACTTGTTGCCGATGGGCCGTTTGCCTTTCTACTGCCAATTTGGCTCAGTGCACCCAGTTTCAGAGTTCTGAAAAATCTATACGTAAACCTAAGAGGGAACACAGACCATCTGTTCGACATTTACCAGATAGCAAAGAATTCCGACCCTCTGTCCGTAACAATCTTGAGTCAAGATTCCGGACACAATATGTCCGGATTTTCGGGTCATGCTCAGAATCTGACAGCCATTCGTACTTCCTGAAAGTTCCATTCCCCGTTATTAGATCGGCAGAAACGGATGCAATAGTTCAAACGACGCTAGCGCAAGAGTTCCCTTGCCTCTGCCCCAAGACGCAGAGCTGTCTGCCTTTGCTGTGACCCACTCCACGAGTGACGGCCAGAAGCCGAAGTGGACAGGGGCGACTCAGAGGAGCCGGGAGCAACGCCAAAGCAAAAGTTTTGTTCGTCCGCGTTACATGTGAAGATGAAGCCGAAGCGGATGGTCGATGCGGGAACACCTCCATTCGTACAGGAAACCCTGCCGCAAAAATGCCCGTTATGCCCAGAATTATATTCGTTGCACTGCCTGCAATAAGGACGTTTCCGTTGGATCATTAGATTAACACTTTCGCGCCCAGTGATTTTTGTTCCTGCAGGTCTCCATTTCCAGGGCAATTTTTTAAAATTACTTTTTCAAGATATTCGGTTTAAAAAAAAAATCACCGTACTATGTAGGACAAAACTGCTTTGTTTTACTCAAAGGTAACAGATTCAAACTTTTTTTTGCAGCAATAACAACTTAATTAAATGAAAATGAAGTATTGACACACGCAAGTGAAAATTAAGCTTTAAAAGACAAAAGACAAAATTCACACCATTCGCGCGAGAGGTTCTCGTGGATATTCCTTGCTGTGTCCTAGATTTCGTAGTTTTCCCCTGTGGTACACCTCCAAACACACTCCTATGCACAGGGCCTCATTACTGGACTTGAGGTGGATACTCATTCTCTCTTCCTCGTTGTTTTGCCAGTGCGGTGCTGACTCCTGAAAAGTTGAGGAGCGCATTTCCGGACAAGCACAACGCATGATAAATAATTCAGTCTTGGTTACTATTTAATGAAGCCACCTGCCATATAGTAGTATCTTCCGAGGTAGAAAGAGATGATAGTGATCATTAGCACGGCACTTCGTGCTGAGAACTGCAAATTGCGAGTGCTTCATATGAAGGGCTTGGGCGTTTAGTAGCGAACATGTCATCCCTTCATATGAAGGGCTTGGGTGCAAAAGTCTTACTTGTACATACAGGCCTTCTTCCAGAATTTCACGAGGTCTTGTCCATGATTATTGTTGCTGTTAGGTAGTCAACCTACTCCGGACCCTCCCTGTTTCTGAGCTTCATCGCCTGCTTTCCCCAGCCCCACAACCCGCGTTCGTCTGTAAGAAATACTCCGTCTTATTTGTGTCCTCACCAGTGGCGTAGCCAGGGTTTCGTCAATGGGTGGGCTAAGCGGAACCGGGGGGGGGGGGGGGGGGGGGGGGGGTCCCT